CCAACTGACCAATTCTCACCTTTTCGTTCCGTTCCTGTTCGTTCGATACTAGTCTAGTCAGTGGATGTGGCACCATTGAACCTCTTGAACAAAAACGTTGGTATACAGGAATAGGAATGCCGCCAACTGGAGATGGTTCGAGGAATTCGAACGGAGGGGAATACGATTGGAACATAGTTAGTGGAATAGATGTTTGTTAAAGAATGACATCAAAATAGACATGAGCTGATAAACAAACATATTGATGTTGTGAGGTCCCACAAGTAACCCCTCGTGATCATCTGGTGGTCAAAGACCACGACAGCTACTGGTAAATACAGCGCTTTAGTTACGAGCTGTAAACCTCCATGAACCCATGGAGACCTGCAACCTTCCTTCCAACCTACCTTCAGGAAGGGAAACGTATAGAAACAGTCCCATGTTCACACTCGAATACAATAACAAACAGTAGTAACAGACGAACGATTGACAGTAATACTGGTAAATGCTACTGGATAATGGAGTATCATTGGGTTGGCCTCACAGACAGGCACAGCGCGAGTTCGACTGGCAGCTTACAGAACAAGCTTATTCACAGAGATCCATGCACAGGAAAGGGGAACAGGTAGAGGTGGTAGAAGACTTCCATGTTCTCAGCACCTCTTTTACCTTATGGGGAAGGTCTGAAATTTGGTGGTTTGAAATTTGGTGGATGGGTCCAGCAGGCAGTGGCTCTCCGTGACTGTGCCCCATGCCATGGATGATTTGAAAACCGAACAGCTCTGGTTATTTTACGGGCCAAATCATTAGCAAAGTCGAAAATGAAAAATTAATTTGAAGGTTACAAATTGAAAATGAATGCGGAAGTTGATACTTAATAACGAGTAACACATGGAGTGAATGGGCAGGAGGTGATTTAGTGACAAGCGGCGCGCTTACCACTCGCGCAGTCCTGGGTTCAAATCTCGGCTCACTCCTGCCCAGGCCAACCAAGCCTTCCACCCTCCGGGAACAATAAGTCGCTACGATTCTGAACGGAAATAGAATGCGTGCCGCATCCCACAAAGGGATCGATCAACGGCAAGACCTTATTCTTTATCCTTTATCCTTTACCACCATAGAGCTTTAGTACAGATCTTTACGAAGAGAAATGGTAAGCAGTGGAAGGTGCTGACCTGGTGAAAAAGAAGGGTGAATGATTAGAAGTTTCGTAGAAAACGCCACGCATTCGACTCCTCATAAAGAAACTCGAGTGCGTTGTAGGATTCAGGGCGTTGGGGATCTCTAGCATGGGATCGTATTTGGTCGTCGGAGGGAGAGAGAAAGGAGGAGA